AAAAATTAAAATAAAATAAAATAAACGAAAATGAGACCGATCCATTTTTAAAACCAAATTAAATCAATAAAACTCATGAATGTTTCGGTCTAAAACATTTAAATTCGTTAAAAGGAAAATGATCGGATCAATCCCAAGAAGGATATCCTTTCCAAGTGGCGCTTTTATGGATTTCCAAACCCAACATGACTTCAATTTATATCAAACTCAAAATGAAACTTCAAAAACCTTCTTCATTTCATAAAATATAGGATAACAATCCATAGGGAACATCTTTCTATACCTCTAAAAATCATACCATTATCAAAGCCCTTCAACTTCAATTTTAATCAAAAGCTCACGGGTAAGGCAACAACCCAAAACTAAAAAAATCAAATCCAACTAAATGAATAGGAAGCTCATGGCTAAGACATCATCCCAAAATCAAGACTCAAATCTAGCATATATTTCAACAAGGGGCAGCAAGAAAAGTGAGATATGAGCCCCCAAATATAATTTCTAGCATTTAAAAAAATGATATCCAACATGTATTTCAACAAGGGGTAGCAAGAGAAATGAGATATGAGCCCCCAAACATAATTCCTAGCATTTAAAAATGACATCCAGCATGTATTTCAACAAGGAGCAGCAAGAGCAGTGAGATATGAGCCCCCAAACATAATTTCTAGCATTTAAAAATGATATCTAGCATGTATTTCAACAAGGAGCAACAAGAGCAGTGAGATATGAGCCCCCAAACATAATTTCTAGCATTTAAAAATGATATCTAGCATGTATTTCAACAAGGAGCAACAAGAGAAATGAGATATGAGCCCCCAAACATAATTTCTAGCATTTAAAAATGATATCTAGCATGTATTTCAACAAGGAGCAGCAAGAGCAGTGAGATATGAGCCTCCAAACATAATTTCTAGCATTTAAAAATGATATCCAGCATGTATTTCAACAAGAGGCAGCAAAATGAGCAAAACATAAGCCCCAAATTTGATTTCCGGCACTTAAAATAAATTTCCAGCATATATTTCAACAAAGGGCAGCAAAAGGAGCAAAACATAAGCCCCAAATGTGATTTCCAGCACTTAACATAAACTTCCAGCATATATTTCAACAAAGGGGCAGCAAAAGGAGCAAAACATAAGCCCCAAATGTGATTTACAGCACTTAACATAAACTTCCAACATATATTTCAACAAAGGGCAGCAAAAGGAGCAAAACATAAGCCCCAAATGTGATTTCCAGCACTTAACATAAACTTCCGGCATATATTTCAACAAAGGGCAGCAAAAGGAGCAAAACATAAGCCCCAAATGTGATTTCCAGCACTTAACATAAACTTCCGGCATATATTTCAACAAAGGGCAGCAAAAGGAGCAAAACATAAGCCCCAAATGTGATTTCCAGCACTTAACATAAACTTCCGGCATATATTTCAACAAAGGGCAGCAAAAGGAGCAAAACATAAGCCCCAAATGTGATTTCCAGCACTTAACATAAACTTCCGGCATATATTTCAACAAAGGGCAGCAAAAGGAGCAAAACATAAGCCCCAAATGTGATTTCCAGCACTTAACATAAACTTCCAACATATATTTCAACAAATGGCAGCAAAAGGAGCAAAACATAAGCCCCAAATGCATCTTTCTCACTTCATAAAATAATTTTCAACATGCATTTCTTACTTTCTAACATTTCAAGCAATGAAAATAATAGAGACAGCCCTCCAACAGGCTTTTCCATAGACATTTATAAAGGAATAAAGGTGCATTTCTACCTTATCCTAACCATACTTTCGAATGCTTCAATTAAAGAAAATAAAAAAATGATCCATATCTGTATATTTCATTTCTCACTACCCTAAATAAATATTCATGCAAGCATTTTTTTATTTCAAGATTTCCCACCGCATGTCTCGAGCAAGATAACAAAACAGAGGAGAGGAAGAAGAATACCTCTTTCAGCAGATCTGAAATAAAACTATAAGAATGGCTAAAGAAAAGACCACTACAAATGCTCCACGTCACAAGCTTTCGAAATTTCTAGCTTAAAGAGGATTCCAACAACACTCTTCTTCCTCAAGAGTTCTTTCTTTCTTCCTCAAAAATTTTTAACAACTCTCAAGCAACAAAAGATGAGAAGGAAATGTAAGTTAGAAAAGATTTTGGCAGAACCTTCCCCACTCTCCAAATTTCGGCCAACCCTAAAATCTTCCCCCAAATGGGATTTTATAAGCATTAGAGTAGGAGATCAGCCACCTACCAGCCACCCTGGTAAGCAAATCGTGTGAGGGGAGAGGAGTAGAAAGATTTAAGGCAAGAGGAAATGCAGCCTAGGGCAGAGGAAGAGCCGGCCAGATGGAGTTTCACCATTGGGAAGCCGTTCGGTCGAGCAGAGATCGAGGAGGCCGCGTGCGTGAATGGACCGCGATCGTTGGAGAAGAAGATCGCCGCGTGGTGGATCTGTTGTGGAGCTAGGGCACGGGCGAGGAGAAATCGCGGGATCGAGCCGCTCGAACGAGGATTTTAGATGTGCGGGTGGAGCCGTAAATAAGGTTTAGGGTTTAGAATTAAGATTATTAATAATATAAGTATGAAAATATTAATTATTTCAAAAAGTAAAATTTGATTTGTGCATTTTTATTAGTGTGGCACATCATCATAAAATAGATGTCAATTTTGGGTAATTCTGACGTTCCAGACGCGCTGGCGCAGTCCGTTTTGCCGTCGGAAGTCGTTTTGACGAATTCATCGATTTGCGTGTCAATTTTCTCGTGTCGAAAGTATAGCAATATGGGTGTCCTTTCCTACCAAAATTGGTATCTCAGACGAGTTGGCGCAATCCAATTCGTCGTCGGAGGTCATCCGGAGAAGTTCGCATTTTCACCCGTCCTTTAGGCTTAATTGAAGTCCGATTTCATGTAACTCAGTGAATTTTGTGTATTTGATGTGTGTATGTGACGAAAAAGAGTCGCGACGATGTCTTCCTAAGGCTTGAAGTTCTATTTGGAACATTTCCCTTGAGTTTTCACAAAATAGCCCATAACCGCTTGTTCATAAGACGATGGTCTTGTGCCATAAATATTAGACATCAAAGAAAAATAGGAAGTGACTGGAATTTTTAAAAGGGTGGGTCTCAATTCTAGTTTTTCTAGGATGGTCAGTAGGAATTCCTAGAGCTAGATCCTAGGATCCTAGAAAAAGAAAGGACCTAAAAAATGAGGTCAACAAGGCTCTCTCCTCCCTTCAATCTCCATTCGATCCAAAACTACACACGACTCTTCTTCCTCTCGTGTGAACAACGCCTCCTTCCTCTACGCACATGCGAGCACAACCCTAATTAATCTTCTTCCCCTTTGAATTTTCTTGTTGCATAGTGTTCGACTCGCCTTCCTCCTCTGTTACACGAACATAGAGCTGAAGCGCTTTTCTTCTTCCTTAAGCTTCGGCCCGACCGACCCGACTCAATTGCATATGTACAATGCCTCTCGACCACTTTCCTTCTCCTTTTTCCCTTCAATTTCTTCTTCTTCTTTCTTCCGCTCTTCTGTTGCTCTTGCTCTTTGTCCCTCTCTCGTTCGATGGTACTAATGAGGAGATGTGCAGAGGATAAACAATATGTTTCTACGAGGGGATATGTCTCCCCAAACCAACTGCATCCTTTATTTATTTATTTATTATTATTTTTTTCTGTTATTACATGCATGCCTAACTTTGATGGAGTCATCCTTTTATGGTACTAGCGGAGAAGCGCTAAGATATTCGTGCATGTAAATAGAAAAATATATTGATATTAATGTAACTTAATTGACACAATTTTTAGACGGTGCACCACCTGTGATGGATCCATATATATTAGAAAGATATTAATATGTAAACGATATAGAAAGACATAATGAATTTGTCGAATTGCATTGAAAGATCATATTAGATTCTACAAACTTTCAAATAATTTTATTGATTTACATAAAATTTAATTGACATCCATATTGTTCATTTTTTATTGAATTATTATAGTTTAGGAGTATTTGTATTCACTAGCTCTTTTTAGCTTACTGTTGTTTTAACTACTTTTTTCATGTTTAATTTAATTAATTAACAGATGAACAATAGTGGAGAAAATATGTATAGAAGACGCGCTCAACTTAAATGAGATAAATTTAATTAGCTTACTTCAATTTATATTTTTGAATAATGGCTCTTTCATTATTAAAATGTTAGCTATAGAAATTTAATGTTTTTACCATCCGACTGTCTGTAGTCGTCTTGGTTAATTGCAAGTCTCTAGCTGGGTTGTGCATCCCTGTCCAACATCTGATCCCACAGTGATGGGACTTGCACTGGCATCACCTATGCTTGTAGCCGTGGCAGTGACTTATTGAATTATTTGTTGCAGCATGCTTCTTGAAAATTTCTAAGATCAGGTATCTCAGAAGTTAGTGAGAAATCTGGAGGTTTAGCAGAAGAAACGGTCATTTTGCTTGGTCTGTCTTTTGTTTATTGCTACGGTAATCAATGATAACCGACAAATCCAACATTTTGATTTATGAATAATTTGGGGTTGGGGCCGCATTTCCTATTTGTTGGGATGGTATATTATTAGTTACATTTTAGTAAAAAAAAATTAAAGATTTCTTCTTTTCCTTAATTATTTATAGGGGTTTTGTCCTCATTTAGAAAATCTCCTGGTGGATAAAATGTAATTTAACCTAAAAATTATAGCGTTTATGCTTAATCTGTTAGATAAAATTTAAAAACGATACATGTGGATTTATATGGATATAAGGCTGCAAATTTTGGACGAGCATTGTTAGCCAGGCGGAATGCAAGGATAGGTTAGTACCTTAGTTGTAAAGTTGCAATTGGGAGCTTGCTGTATCATTTTGTTTTGTGCTTATCCATGAATACTTCTGATACACTTTACTCTTTTCTTGTCCTATATGCTTTAACTGTTAAAAGTGTGGAGCTGAAGTGACAAGTGGTTTCTTTTTATATGCAACCTGGCAGCTTGAATTGGCAACACCAGCTATGCAAAAATCCAAGACCCAATCCAGATATAAAAACCCTTTTTGTGGATCATTCTTGTAGCCAACCAAATGGCGCACATTCTTCATCCCCAGCCAACAATCCATTGCTTGGATCCATGCCCAAAGCAGCAGGTGGTTTTCCTCCGCTAGGTGCACATGGGGTAAGTTGAATACAGTTAATTTCCTCCTATCCTTTGCTATACTACTATTCATTTTGCACAATCTGTTGGTTCATGTTTAGCCTTTTCAACCCACGCCGACATCAGTTCCTATGCCACTTGTTGGTTGGATGTCAAATGCACCTGCTGTAACTCATCCGGCAATTTCCAGCGGACCCATGGGACCAAACACTCCTAGCAATCCCGGTTAGTGATTTTATAAGATTGTGGTTTATTTGGTATAAGCTATCACCTCATGCCTCTACTAGAAGTGTTTTTGTGTTCTTGGTACATGCATAAATATTTTTTTTTTCTCCTTTTGGATGATAGCTGCAATTTTGAAGCATCCTAGAACTCCATCCACCAATCAGGTTGTTGATTATGCTTCTGGAGATTCTGATCACATTTCAAAGAGGACTAGGCCTATTGGAATTCCTGATGAGGTTTGTTTGAGCGCTGTGGGGAGGATTTTTTATTTGGAAACTTACATATGCAGCACACAATTCTTATGTATTTACATATTTCACACCTAAACTTTATTCACCAATAGCACTTTGGTACTTCAAACCTATGTATGAAAAGCTGCATTTCATTTTAAAAGTGATAATAATGCCATTTTTTATTTGATATTAAAGATTTGAGTGTTACGTATATAAATATGTAAGTTTAGGTGTGAGATATGTAAATACAAAAGAATTGTGTGCTGTGTATATAAATGCTCTTTTTTATTTCTTACTTCTTGTGGATCTAGTGCTTTTGAGCTCTTCTTTTGAAAGTTACATGTGATTCTCTTGTCCTGGTTGATACATTTGTGCAGGTGAATTTGCCAGTAAACATGTTAGCAGTTTCTTATGCACTGAACCACAACCAGGCAATCTATGCTTCAGATGACTTACCTAAGACTGTAGCCCGAACACTAAATCAGGGTTCAACTCCCATGAGCATGGATTTCCATCCTATTCAACAAACTATTCTCCTTGGTATGTTTGATTAGTATTTGTGTTTAATTGGCAATTATGATGCATCTTTGACTCTTAGCTGGACTTTGGTTCAGTTGGCACAAATGTTGGTGATATTGGATTATGGGATGTCGGAAGAAGGGAGAGATTTGTCCAAAAGAATTTCAAGGTTTGGGAACTTGGGGCATGTTCGATGCCCCTTCAGGTTTGTTAAATTTTTATCAATATTTTGGCAGGAATGGTTGTCTGAACTTACTGAAATTTCCTTTTATATATTTAGACTGCTCTAGTTAAAGATCCAGATATGTCAGTTAACCGCATAATATGGAGTCCTGATGGGAGTCTATTTGGTGAGATCATGGAAGTGTATAATAATATTTCAATACTCACATTTAAATGAAAGTTTTTTATTATCTTTTTTGCATGTTAAACTTTTATTTTCTTGTAGGTGTTGCTTACTCAAAACATATTGTACAAATATATTCCTATCATGGTGGTAATGATGTTAGGCAGAATTTAGAGGTATGAATGGTACAATTCGTATTTAGTATTTCCATTTCAATATTATTGATTTGCATTTTCTTGTCTCACTGTGTTTTTGATGCTCAAAAACTTGCAGATTGATGCCCATATTGGAGGCGTCAATGATATTGCATTTTCAACCCCCAAAAAGCAACTATGCATAGTAACTTGTGGAGATGATAAGCTGATTAAGGTGTCGATTTGACATTAGATGGTGCTTAGCTAAAAATGTCCAGTGCACAATTTGTGTTTTGAGATACAAGCTATAAATTTATCTTTTATTTTAGGTGTGGGATGCAACAACAGGGGCCAAGCAATATACTTTTGAAGGTCACGAAGCACCTGTATACTCTGTTTGTCCGCATCACAAGGAGTACATTCAGGTTAAAAAAAAAATTTATTAGGACCATACTCATATATGACTATTTGATTGAATTCACTAAATTGATTTTGAAAGAAATCTCAAAACATAACCTTATATGTTATTAATTATTGATTAAATTCAATAAATTGATTTTGAAAGACATCTCAAAACATAACCTTATATGTTATTAATTAAGTCATTGTGAAAAGTAATCCTTGACCAAAAGCTGATAATCTTTTACAATTTAACTCTATATTAATCCTAATTATGCAGTTCATCTTTTCTACGGCATTAGATGGAAAAATAAAAGCGTGGTTATATGATAATTTGGGATCCAGAGTAGATTATGATGCTCCAGGTCATTGGTGCACAACTATGGCTTATAGTGCTGATGGTTCAAGGTTAGTTCACTGATGAATACAGACAGCGGCCATTCTTTTTTAACTAAAAGGATTGATTTTCTCTCTCGTAGACTTTTTTCTTGTGGGACAAGCAAAGAAGGAGAATCACACATAGCAGAGTGGAATGAAACTGAAGGGGCTGTCAAACGGACTTACCAAGGATTTCGTAAACATTCTTTGGGTGTTGTACAATTTGACACAACCAGGAATAGATTTCTAGCAGCTGGAGATGAATTCTTGATAAAATTCTGGGACATGGATAACACCAATCTCTTAACTACTACTGATGCTGATGGTTCTCTCCCAGTTAAGTTTAAACATTAGTTCTGCAATGTTAGTTATGATGAAATATTTTGAACATACTAATTATTTTTTTGAAGTCTAAGGTGTCATTTGGAATCACTTTTGTTTTCTATGTTCTATAATTTATTTTTATGTTGTTTTGTTTATGTTTACATTTGAAAACAAAACATCTTTGGCTATTTGATTAGATTATTGTTGCTTTTAAAAGTACTGAAAACACCTAAATATTGTTTTGAGTGTTTTCAAAATAAAAACACATAAAAAAGGTACTAAACAAACATCTTCTTAAAAAAGGAAAAAAAAAAAAAAACAAAAAATTGATCCCATCCCAAACAAGCTCTAGTTTTTCAAGCTTTTTGATTCTAACTTTTTATTTAATATTAGGCAAGCCCAAAGATACGCTTCAACAAAGAGGGTACCTTTTTGGCTGTGTCTACGCATGATAATGGAATTAAAATATTGGCTAATGCTGATGGATTACGTCTGCTACGGACATTTGAAAACCGTTCCTTAGATGTGTCAAGGACAGTGTCAGAAACCTTGACAAAGGTATTTGTTATAGCCATATAGCCTCAAATATTATACAACAAATTTTTTTTATTGTAGGCTTTTTGTATTTTTTAGCCAATTATAAACCCATTGTCGGCTGCCATTACTACTGCTACCACTACGGTGACCTGTGCTACAATGAATGATAGGCCTGCCACTGAAGGGATTACAACTGGATTGGTTTGTTGCCCTTACGCTTTTAGATTTTAAATTTTGTATTACACCCTTGTAAATCATGCCGTTGATGCAAATTATGCCATTCTTCAGCTCTGTTATGATAAGCTTTAGAACTATTTGGGCGCAATCTTATTATCGTGTACTGACTGTTTCATATTTCCATAATTTATCTAGATTGGAGAGAGCAGAAATTTGGTGGATGTAAAACCAAGATTAATTGATGAGTCAATGGAGAAATCAAAGATCTGGAAGCTCACAGAAATAAGTGATCCAGCTCACTGTAATTCATTGCAGCTAACGGATAACCTGAGAGCAATCAAGGTATGTTTTTCAGGACCTGGAATCTTGTTCCCTGTTTCTCTGGTCAAAATTGCAATACTAGACTTTGCGCATGTGTCATGTATCTTTTTTCTGCTATGGACCTAAAATAATATCTTTTTCTATAAGGCTTTTGTGCTGGTTCTTTTTGCCAGCCTAATTATTGCAAGTATGGTCTTAGAAATTCACAATGTGTATTCAGATGCTAAAACTATTTTGCATTTAAACGAAGAAATAAAAAAGCAAGAACATAAAGACGCCTTTATCCCTTGCACATTCCGTTAGGTCCTGGTAGGATGAATGAAGATTGGATATTTATTTTCATTCTTAACACTAATATATTGCTAATGGTGCTCTTTGAAAGGCTGTTCTACATTTCCGTTAATACTCTTAGGTCGTTCATTTTTGTTAATCTGATATTTCAATATTTTACAAATAAATTTTGTATCTATTATCCATTGAAATGGTTTTTTATATTCAGAAAAGACAGTTTTCCGTATTAAAAATTGCTTTTTGATTAACTTGATGCGTGCTGTCAGTAAAATAAAATAAAAAAATAAATTTTCCATTGGTCGCAATAGCGTTCCAATTACCTGGAATGGATTCAGTTTCCAAAAGAAATGGACTATTTTATGACAGCTTTGGGTATAATTTATTTGTTCATGATTTTGAGCATTATTTCCAAGCTTCGACGCTATCTGATGTGGAGCTCATAGTCTATGGAGATTGGACAAGCCAAATTTCTATGATGTGTCCTTATTTTTATATGTTTGAATTTTCGTACGAGGTCTTACATTCATTTGTCTCGGCTTTTGTTTAATTTTGCTGTTTTATCAGTTCTCCTTTCGTCGTGGTGAAATATTTAATATTAAGCCTGCATGTACTGAACATATGATACAGTGTCATTAACATATAGTAGGTTTAATCTCACTGTACGATTAAAGTTAATGTAGGTAATGTGGATGGAATGAGGTCAATGAGGGCATTGAACTGACTGTATAACTTTGAACTTGTTTTGAAATTTATTTATTTTTTAAATGTTACAGTAAGCTCTAATGGAAGCTAAATAATGTTAAAATAAAAAACACAGTTCATCGCTCCAATAGTTAGTTTACAACTTAATCATACATATAATTTGTACTAATGTAGGAGTAGTAATTTTCATTAAATGAATAAGCTAGTACAAGTGAGTTTAATTTTCAAACACAATCTTTATCATATTACGTTTAGCATATCAATAGCCCGTTGGAAGGGCTGCCGGTTAGACATCAGAAAGCTGTATATGAGAAAAGAAAAATAAGGAATCTCCTTTATTTTAAAGTATTTCCACACCTGTAAGTGTATCACAAAAACATATGAAATATACACACAATCAAATTTTTATATCTACACAATTACTAAACTAGAACTATATGTATACAATCACAAATTGAAAACAAAAGCAATCGTAATGCATTTAATAACAAAAAATGAAATAATCCGTACATAACCCAAAAATTATACGTAAAAGGCTCATAACAAAAAGTGAAATAAAAACTATCCTAGTCCTCAGTTGTCTTCTCTTTCTCATCTTCATCCTCATCCTCTCTCCTCTATAGGCTGCTTCCCTCCCCGACGTGTCTCACGCCCCATCGCATCTATTTTGCATCCATTGAAACAAGTTGAGTGACAACTCAGGTCTATATTTGCAATGAATGCGACAACCTGCCCGCAAATTTCATCTTACTGGCTAGATGTAGAGCTATGCCCAACAAAGGGGCGATGTGCGCCGTACACATGTGCTTGTGATTCTAAGCCTTAAATTCTTCTTTTCTTTATAGTTCGACTGATCAATATCAGGGATTGAAACTCCTAAATTAAAAAATAAGTATAATTCTATAATAATTACTATATCACTTATATGTGGTGTTCTAGATTTTGTGTCAACCTATTGATGGTCCGACTGATGCTGATGGGTACGAGTATGTAATTCAGTGGCAGTGGGTTGTCGTCCAAATTTCAATGCTCATTAAGATAAGAAAAATGTAATTAAATAATTATCATCCACTAAGATTTAATACACAAAATAACTTATCATTCTTCTCTAGTACTCTGTATGTGGGAGAGCCCCTGCAGTGTGTTTAGAGGTGCTCATGCCCCCATAAGTTGAAGATTAGTTATGCTTCGCCTGCCAACTCTTTTTGACATTGTCAGGAGTGACCCAAGCTCTGCCCAAATGGGTGCACATGTTCTCTCTGAGCCATTTAGGGCTTTTGATGACTCAAAAAGTTACGGTGAAGCAAGTCAACCGTATCACACGAGGATACTTGTCAAGTAATAATGCGAATTCAGAGTATCGCATATCGATCCCTTGGGAAAAGGGCTAAGAATATTCCAACCGTTAAATCTCTAGTTTACTAAACATCTAAACCTAGTTTAGTATGATCAAAAGCAAGATAATGAATTCCTACAATCCTATTCACAAATAGAAAAAGAAAAGCACGAACTAGAAAACAAAGAAATCAACAAGCAATTAAATCTTACAATTCTACAAGAGAGACGAGCTTCGCATCTCAGTGATTCAGGTGTCGTGGTTTGTGATTTTTCTACTTTTTCCTCTACGTGATAGTTGTCATTAGGAATAAAATGTTCTTCTTATGCCTATGCCTAAGTTAGAAGAAAAATAAAAAACCCATGAAGTTAAGTTTTTCTATCCCCATGACGTTTCTCAGGATTCTTCTGTTCCCCATTCTAGGTTACAAAATCCTGATAGAACATTTCTATTATACCTGGATTTTGTGGTTAACATGTTCGTTCCTCTACGCGACGGGCAAAAAATCATAAATCACGAAAGTTGTTAAGCTTGTGACTGACCAGATCAGGAGTATATGAGATCCAAAGATTAACACAACTTTCATATGAAAGCTCAGGAAAACTTCATAGGGCATCCAAAAACACAAAAAACACAAAAACCACGAGCCTTTTATCTCAGAAACGTGATAGAGAAATTTGCTACGCTCGATTGAAAGAATGACATAAAACATGTCCATGAAAATCTATGTTACAAGCAAAACATGAAATTAAACACTTACAAAATAACTTGTTCTCTCGATGAAAGCAGAAAATTTTTCTCTCATACAATCTTCTCTTGAAAACAGTAAGACAAACAAAAGAAAAGAGGAAGAAAGACAACCCTGAGGACCTCAACCTTAAGCAAGGAAGAAAGCCTTAAGAGAGAAGCTCTCTCTCTCACCAAGTCCCTTAGGACCTCAACCTTAAGCGAGGAAGAAAGCTCTAAGAGAGAAGCTCTCTCTCTCACCAAGTCTCTCAATCTCTGCCTTCAGTTGACCTTGATGTTCCAAGTTCCCTTTCAAGCTTCCCTAAATCTGTTTTATAGCTCTGGTCTAGGATTAGCAAGAAATTTCTTCTCAAAAATGTTTTCCGCTTCGTTGGTATAGTTATGCCCAAACCTAGTGTGGCCATGCCATAGTTGTCGACCAGTCGATGTGGTCAGGCCTGATTTGGACGTGGTGACGCCTGATCTTGGCGTGGTCATATCGCTGCTTTTGAAACAGCGGTGGTCATGCTCAATCCATTCATGGTCACACTAGTTTTGGTAGTCTCAGCCTTGATTTTTCGTTGTTCCGAAATACGCTCGATCTCTTATAATCTACACATCACCAATAAAAGCTTTTCACAAACGTAAATCCATGATAACTAAGGTGAAACAACTAGTAAAAAATTAGGGTTTGATGCAATAAAAATTATGTCGAATTGACTTGTCAATGTTGACCCGCCTTCCATATCTTAGCAAACATATCGCGGAGACCCCCTCTAGACTCAAAGCTTCTCCTGACATGTGAAACATGCTCTAGTTATTGGGAGAACTCCTGCTTGGAGGGAGATCATCTTTACCTCACGAAGACATCTGTATTAAGAGAAGAAGAATTAATTAGTGCACATAACAAAAGTTAAGATAATAGAAGAAATACATATATTAAACAAAAACACAATCAAATTATGAAATGTAATATATTAAGTACTGCAACTGAAAATAAAAGTATAGTCAAAATGTAAAATGTAATCTACAAACTACCACTACTAAAAATAGAAATCTAAGTGAAAGATGAAATATTTAATAATGAAGAAATTAAATAATGTACACGTATTATTCTGCATCATCCGATGAGTGAATGAAATATGAAATTAGAATTTTTTCATCTAAACCATCACTAAAGTCATACTTTTTAAGATTAATTTCTTGTGTGTCATTAACATCCTCTAAATTATCTTTTCATAAATAATATTAACTAAAATAGTGCTAAACTTCATCAAGATAGGTCTAAACTTCATCATAATTGAGATAAGATAAAGAATTGTTGTTCAAAGCTCTTGATCATTGTGATAATGTGATGTGCATATCTTTAATGTTTAACCTAAGTGGTGCAAAATATAAGTTGTAGATGAAGGTATCACACAATTGACTCATCGGTGCGTTCTTGTTTGTCAAAGTAGTAAGAACAGAAAGTTGAGTTTGTTATAATAAATATATCTCACATATTGAGCATTCTGGTAGACTTTCTTCACATCTCTCTTAAATTTATTCAAAAATCTATAATAAAATTTTTTGTTAACTCAATTTATCAATAATTTTTAATAAATTATCTAGTATATCTCAAATGGATACATTCAGCAGTACTGTAGTGTACTACCAACTATAGTCTCGTATGATAGATGTAGGAGCAGATGGTCTATCAAATCAAGAAAACTGAGTAAATATTCTCTTAGGCTTGCATAATATTATTATAATGTTTGCTTCTAATTGTAGTAATGTATCAATTTTTAAACGAGCTGCACATAATTTTTTAAATAATGAACTAATTTTAATCAATGAATTAAATAATTTACGTGACAAATAGTTAAATTCAGTTGGCATCAAACTTTGCAAGAAAATATGGCAATCATGATTTATCATTCCAAATATCTTTCTCTACTATGAAGTTATCACAATAGCTCAAATTTGA